TAAACTAAATGACCCTGAGGCTTCACTAGTTCATGTTTTTTTTAAAAATATGCTCCAGAGACCTTTGGGAAATATTTTAAAGGAAAACCATTCTCTGGTGAATTTTCAGGACCACTTAGTCCCACCTGTTATGGGACACTCCCTTTAAAACGCGTGTGAAGACCTGTTGCGTGATATGGACGATCTATGTTTGCACTACTTTGGGATGCATTCAACATTATTCATGGCATTTCCTAGCCGATCCTACCTCTGCCTGCCGGGATGGCTGACATAATCGGCTGTAATGTGCTGGCTACCAGGGATATATGGGGCCATGGGTAGCAAACTTTACCTGTAAGCCAGGTTTTCGCGTAGCAACGTGGGTGAATCATCTACAACTTTGACGGGAATCGGTCGTTGACCGCTCGCCCCCTCCCACGCCCTCTTTATACGCGTGTGCGTGCTGAAAGGTGGCTGTTGCAAATGCCTGAAGAACTCCGTTTTATCTAGTTCAAGAAGAAATTGTAAATCCATGGGAATGTTATCAGTTCGAACCTGGGATAAACACTGCCAAAGTGCTTGCCGATTTCGCGCCACATAATCTAACGTCGAAGGTGATAAAGCACACCACAGCGGGGCTTAAAAAGTATTCATAAGCATCTTTTGAGACATCATCATGTCATTAGCCCAAGATCTGCTTACAAATACCTTGCATTGGGTCCAAAACACTTACCGCCAATACATTGGGAGTGCTGTATGCTGCTGCAGTGAGCTTCGCTGAAAACTGACCACACTCCCTGGGTCCTCTCATGACACCAGACGTCAGCTATTCTTAAATCAATAGTTGCGATTTCTCTGACATTCGTCAAAGCAATGGTTTCGAGCAATATACTCGATCGTCACTGTCGCTCGCCCTTTTCGATGAACCTTTTGAATGAATGAACTAAAGCTGAACAACTCGTAGTAGGCACGTGCGCGTTTGATCGTTTCATTTAAAAGACTTGGCGGCGCCGACTGAGCGATCAACCGGTGACATTTTGACGACACAGAAATGTGGGATGGCGTAACCTTAAGAAAAGTTGGTGTTTGGACGGAGCCTGTGCTCATAACGACAACTGAACAGGTGGTAAATTCAAGCCATGAATCTGTGCATGTCGTCATGTAATTTTGACACGGGCCTGGCCACAGTTTCGACGACAGCGTGTGGCATTCGGGACCGCTCTGGACGTGCCGACACTCTCACCTTGTCCAACGATCACTGGAGCAACCGTGCGTCGCACAAACTTGTGTTGGGCACGTCAACTGAGGACGGTATGTTAGTCCACGTCTCGAAATTGAATTCACATCTCCGCCCGGTCCGGCCGCCGAGTTGTGACATAAAGCATGACAAAGTGTGAAAAACGGACAAATCCACATTGACCACTTCTGTGCACTTACCACACGGCATGTGCTATCGCCCAGGTCACACGATGTGATTACCCGTTCAATTGCCGGTCAAACGAGTTTTCCCCGTTCCGACACTTAGTTATCGAGTCCTGGCCACGGTTTTGAACAGCTGCTCGTCGGCTTTATCGTGGGGCACATTTTCGAGTCGCCCGTGCGGATTCAATCGCCCTAAAACAACCTTTGCGGCACGTACCACGCCCGAACTCGGACCGCAAACAGCTCGTAAGTGACCTATGGAAAAACCACCTGGTGCGCCCGCGCGTCGCGTCCAATTACACCTTTTAGCGCCCCACCGCTTAGTACCCGGAGCACGACACAACGCGAAATGGGACAGACAGACTGACGGAAAGACGCGCGCTCACACACACACACACACACACACAACACCACACCACACACACACACACACACACACACACAACACACACACAACACACACACACACACACAACACACACACACAACACACACACACACACACACACACACACACACACACACACACACACACACACACACACACACACACACACACACACACACACACACACACCACACACGCACGCACGCACACACGCACACGCACGCACACAACGCACGCACACACGCGCACACACACACACACACACCACCACACACGCACGCACGCACGCGCACACACACACACACGCACACATATATATATATATATATATATATATATATATATATATATATATAATTTTTGTGCCTCTTGAAATGCTTGTAATAAAGACCGACTAAACGGTGCGCAGAGCGCTTTAGTTTACCATTTGATGCTTGGTGTTTATTGCTCCATCAAATGATCATTGCTGTTCATTGAGCTTTCGCGTGATAGGACGGAATTAATGACACTCTCAGGCGTCGAACTGTGCTTCTTATTCATTGCAAGCTTGCGATTTGGTGGTCGATTATTGGGGTATATATTTATATTTACACTGCGCCCTCACTAGCGTGTGGTAGGCACCTAGGGCGCTGATCGTCTGGCCTGGGAGATGCCAGCTGGCGGGAGGCGAAGGCGTCTACCGTTCTACGGCGTGGCCGTGTCCATGCTTTTGATGACGTTTAAAAGGTTAGCCGGAGGGCTGCGGGCCAAATTTTCGTACGGAATGGGTGAGAGGGATAGTCTTGTGCAATTATCTCTGCAAGGTGTTTGAAATAAGGTAAAAAAAGAAAAGGCTAGCGCATTTTTGAAAAAAACACTGCCAAATATTTGGTGGCTCAACCAAAGTAGCACTGAATAATGGAAGACGCCAGCCTTTTTGTTCAGTTCTGCTCGTGATGGATTGACAAACTTCGCCGGTTGTCACAATTAACGCGATGACAAGGCGCCGAATTATGACATATAGGTAAACGTGCTGCACGCGCCGTGTTGCACTCAATGTGCATGGTGTTACCCTGTCTTGCCCCTGCCAGACGAACGCACCTTGGGACATCTGTCCCTGAAACGGAGCCGTTCAGAAATGCTTCCCGCAAACTCATGGCTTTCTGATCGTCATTGATGGCCGCGGTGGCTTCCGGCGCGTACTCGAAAGTGCCGTCATCGTCCTGGAGACTTACATTCAATGAAATGTGCATCTGAAACGATTGAGCTGTTACAAAAATAAAAACTGAGCCTGGGTGTCACAAGGCCAGCGTACGGGGAGTTAGTGCGTTTAATCACATCACGTAAGGCGAAAGTAAAATTAACAATTACGGCGGCTCAATCACAAAACAGAGATCAAATGACCACAACATGATTCATGTTCAGTTTAGTCATGTCTTTCTTGAGGCACCCAATGTTCTTCTATACCGTTTCATCAAATGCCTGAAAGACGTGCAGCGATCAAACAAAAAGTGTAGCAAGGTCGCGTATGAAAAACGCTTGCAGCATCGTGACATTTCAAATGGTGACTAAGATGTCAGCCGGATAGCGTAATAGCGGTAAATGCGAAAATATTGCGAAAGGTAATAAAACCTCGGCATTATAAGAAGGCCTAGTGTTACCTTATATGCTAGACTACGCCGAACGCCCCTGACAGATCCCTCTTAAGCTCCATGGGCTTTTGCTGAGGAGACTAAGCAGTCAGGCAGGAGAGCCAAGGCTATATAAAAAATACATAACGGAGCCTTTGTTACCAGAGCAGCCTGGAGTTTGCACCTAGGTATCTCTGTCCGCAGTACATGGTTGGATGAGGTGCCGCCATTGGATGCGTTTACATGAAGCACCTTTGTCCTGTGCGGTTTGAGGAAGATGACTGGTGAACTAGGTAAATCGGCAGGCATATTCGAGGTAGCACAACAGTATGTTGAACGCAAATAATGATGAAAAATTGGGGACCTGTTAACACTGCCGCTCACTACCTTAAAAAGTGGGGAGAGGTATGGCCCCTTTGCACCGCCCCCCCCCCCTTCTACACCTACACCCACGCAAACTAGGCGCAGTCGTCTATCAACCGCTCCATATTCCGTGGACAAGGCGGAAACACTTCTCCTTGCGGTCTTGCGATGGACTCGGCTGTTGGGCAAGGAGGCAGATCCATTGATGGCAGTCACATGGCCGAGGTGATCTTCATCGCGGTACGACAGCCTTGCAAAGTGCAATGACGTGCACGGCGTGGAAAAATCGTCAAGCAAAGCCCGAGGTCACAAATTGGTTTCGTTGACTGGTCAGCCTGACTTCCCCTGCTGCGCCTCCCATTTCTTACGCATCAGCATCTGCGCGTCGGCGATTCGCTCATCTGTCACAGCATGATCACACGATCCCCTGCCCCTGACGGCGTTCGGCTGTTTTGCCGCTCTCCACATCCTCTGCGCCGGCCTCCGCTCCCGGCCGGTGGCGCAGGCCAGCCCCGGCGGCCGGCGCGGCCAGCGGGCGGTCCCAGCGGCGTGTTTTTGTCCGTCAGTCAGTTCGGCCGTCTTCTATTCAGCGCACCGGAATGTATTCGGAGGGGGCCGGGGAAGGCGCGAATCGCGGCACCCTGGCCGCCCCCCGGCGCGCCCGCGCCTTCCCCGCCGCCCGCGGTCGGCCGTACACGCTCTGGCAGTGCGTCCAGGTCGGGCGGCGGTTGGCCGCCGCTCCCGGGAGGCCCGGGGTCAGGGTCAGAAGCTGTAGGAGCCGCCCCCGCGCCGCGCCAGACGCACACGCCGCGTCGCAGACGGCCCGCCGCCGACAGCCTTGGCTGCTCTCCCCGCCGCTGGACTTTGCCCGGGGCCGCGCGCGCGACCCGCCGTCTGCCGGCCGCATCCGGCGCCGGCGGCGCTGACCGGGACGCCGCGCCGGCGGGCGCGCGCTTTTTTTCGGCGCCAGCGGGCGTCGCGCGGTCTGGCGGGCCTGTCGGCGCGCCACCGCGTCTCGGCCGACGCATCGATCGGCGCCGGCCGCGCCCCCTCCCCCGTCCTGCCGCGCGCCCGGCCCGGGCCGGCCGCCGCCGTAGTACCGTCTGATCAATACAGCGGCGGTGAGACTTTGAAGTTCAGCTGGCGGGGCGCGGTCGCCTTAGGCGCGGTCCGACAGAGCCTGCGCGGCGACCTGCGCGCTGACCTGCGCGGCGACCCGCTGCCGCCCGCGGCCGATCGTCGGTGCGCCGCCAGCCAGCCTTCGACGGCCGTCAACATGTGGAGGCGCCTTGGAAGGTGAGTGTGAGCTGTGACGCAGCCCAGCTGGGCGGTGGGCGCGTCCGCCGAGGTCACGCTCACTGCTGTTTGTTTGCGTGGGGCTGTGTCCTTTATCCGCCGCGTAAGTGCGGCTATCGGCTGGCGATAATGCTATAGCATTAGTGAGATAAGGCTCGTTTGGCTGCGGGCTTACATAAAAACGTGTGGCTGAATTGATCAGTAAAGGTGATGCGTGCCCAAATGACCGCATCGACTTTCGCTGTCGTCGGGAAGGAAAGCTTTCGCTGCCATGCGAACCTTCAAACTTGCGTAAAGCCACTCAACGTGCAAATAATGAGCGGAGAACGGCATATGTTGGATGTGCGTGTACCAGAACTGTCTTTGAAGTCGGGGATTTTGGCGGACCAACTGGTTATTTGCATTGTGAGCGGAGTACATCAACGAAGCCCTTCACTGCTCGGTGGTTGCGAGACAGACACAGAGCGGATGTAGCCGGTACGTCAGGACAGTGTACGTGGGGCGGTGAGGTCGGTGTCAGGGCGAGATAGACACAGAGCGGATGTAGCCGGTACGTGAGCGCAGTATACGTGGGGCAATGAGGTCGGTGTCAGGGCAGTTTATGTGGGGTGATGAGGTCGGTGTCAGGGCAGACAGACGAAAGTTGCGCTCATCAATCTCCTGAGCCCAGCTGGGACGGCAACCCACCGCAGTGTTTGTCCCGTCTTTTTACTGCATTGCAGCGCTCAAACGCTTTTCATTTTAGGAAAGTTAGCAATGTGCTTCACAACGTTTATTGGGGTTTTGTCAATAAAAACGGCAGCCATGCCGCGCCATCCCTTTGTGAAATCTATGAACAATTATAATAATGAGGGCTTAGTTTGGATCGATATTATGCAACAGGGGATCATCAAGCCGCCATGCCACCCATCTTTGCAATGTGGAATTCAAGGGTTCGATACTCTCGTTTCTTAGCATAGGCGTCTTCCAGGGAAGTTGATTTCGACCCTGCGCGGAACCGAGTCGCGTGTACAATCCGAATCATGCAAAATCAGGTGCGTACAAATACATTGAGCATTGTGATCAAATATATATACAATACCCGATACAATATGTCACCAGCGGAGCCATTGGTCGGCTGTGGCTATGCCTTCAGCGTCGCTGCTTGACGCCCGGGGCCGGCCTATTACTACACGTTAACCACCTGGAGTTCGCACTGTCCTCTCTTCTCGCGATATGCCACCGCTATCGCCACCGCAAACATTTCAAGCACCAGTGAAGACATTTTTCAATGTACTACAAATGAACAATAGCAGGGTGGGCGGCAAAACGGTAAAGTCGCTCACTGAAAAAAAAACAATGAGCACGCCATGAGCGGCGTGCAATTAGCTGATGAATGCTTGTCTCTAGTAAAGTAACACGAAATTGCCCCCACATAGGACCACGGTTTATAATGCGTCACACAGTTTACAATGCGTCATAAACTGTGCGACTTGGGAAATACCCACCCCTAAGTCATCAAGCTGAGCTTGTTGACTGGTTCTACATCAAACGGCATATATCGTATTGCCGTGCTGCGTCTACCCTATTGACGCCGGGGAGGCGAGGCAGCGGATATTTGCAATACCGCATCCCGCCGCGCAGCACATTCAACGAAATGCGCTGGGCACACAGGAAACAGCCACCTGAAGCCGGTTTCTCTTTTATTAAGTGGGTGGATTTGCGGCGTTGGTGTTTGCATCCCAAACCGGCCGAGGCGTCGCGCGCGTCAGCGGCCGTGGGACGTGGGGCGGACGTCAGTGTTTGCAGCCCCCCGGCCGGGGGGGGGGGGGGGGGCTGCAGTCTGCTGACCGTCTTCCGGCGGATGCTGGCCGCCGCAGATTCAGCAGGCATCCATTGGACCTGGTGTGGCCTTTCATGCATCGGAGGGGCACGTGCCCCGACGGCCATGACTTTGCTTGTGGTGTTTCTTGTTGTCTCACATGCGCGGCGCTGTGTGGACAAACGGGGGAGCCGCGCGAATTCCAGTGCGTTCAGGTCATCGCGCATCGGCGCTCCTGCAATACCCAGACACTCGTATTACCCGGACCAAAATTTATGAAAAATATGTCTTACGCGCATCGTAACCCTTGCAGCAAACCTGAACTGGCCCTTAATGATTTTCCAGAAATTTCGGCTCTGGGTGCATGTGCGTTTTCCATGCCCATTACACAACACTCCTGCAAAAGTCCTGGCCCGGCGGAAGGAAGGGCGACCAGCGACACAGGAGTCGCCTGGCCTGTCAGAAGGGAGTGCGACCAGCGAGACAGGAGGAGGCCCTGGGTGGGACCTCTCGATCGGCGAGGCCCTGAGGCGAACAGGCAATCGCCTCGATGGATCCCTGACAGAAACAATTTTCCCAAACGACTCTGACTGAAACATGACCGGAGCAGAGACCTCGGCGATCCTTTGCCATATGCACCCGCAAAATAGGTCCCTGATTTTAGCAAAACGCCGATCAAAAGTGGTCCCTCAGGTGAGACAAACGGCTCAGATATTAGCTTCCACAGAGCCTGTTATTACCCGAACTTCTAACCCGCTTGGACCCTCGACAGACCACTGTAACCGAAGCAGACTCTCAGCAGACCCGTATCAAGGCAGACTGACAGACCGGCACCGGCAGACCCCGGACCATGACTGACTCAACGACAGACCTCTTCCTGAGACGGACCCCTTAGCTGACTTCAAAATGTGCCCGTGACTGCTCCCTCAGCTGACCTCCAGACCTGTCCGAGACCAAACCCTCAATTGACCTCAAGCTGTAACCGAGACCGACCCTTCAGCTGACCTCCAGTTGTGACCGAGACGGATCCCTCAGCTGACCTCTAGCTGTAACCGAAACCGAACCCTCAGCTGACCTCCAGCTGTGACCGAGACCGACCCATCACTGACCTCCAGATCTGACCGAGACCGACCTTTCAGCTGACCTCCGGCTGTAACCAAGACCGACCCTTCAGCTGACCTCCAGCTGTAACCAAGACCGACCCTTCAGTTGACCTCCAGCTGTAACCGAGACCGACCCTTCAGCTGACCTCCAGTTGTGACCGAGACGGATCCCTCAGCTGGCCTCTAGCTGTAGCCGAGACCGACACTTCAACTGACCTGCAGCTGTGACCGAGACCGACGCATCATCTGACCTCCAGCTGTAACCGAGACCGACTCTTCAGCTGACCTCCAGTTGTGACCTCCAGTTGTGACCGAGACGGATCCCTCAGCTGGCCTCTAGCTGTAACCGAGACCGACACTTCAACTGACCTGCAGCTGTGACCGAGACCGACGCATCATCTGACCTCCAGCTGTAACCGAGACCGACCCATCATCTGACCTCCAGCGGTAACCGAGACCGACCCTTCAGCTGACCTCCAGATCTGACCGAGGCCAACCGCCCAGCACCCACCGGACAAGGCGCTCCCTCGACCTGCGCCGACGGCCCCCTCTATCAGCTCGTCAGCGGACGAAATCGGCCATTTGCCAGACGTCGCCGCATTGGCCCATGCGGGCGAGGTCGGCCCTTCGCCACACGTCGCCGCATCGGTCCAGGCGGACGAGGTCGGCCCTTCGCCAGACGTCGCCGCGTCGGCCCAGCTGCTGAGTACGTGCTGTGCAGTTCGCAGCAGCTGAATAGGAAAATCCCCGCTGATCTTGCACATGACTTGTGGGCACGATCGTCGGCCTGCGCTCCCTCCGTGTCCTCCGGAACGGTGCCGATGTTTACACGGACGTGTCCTCCCGAACAGTGCTGATGTAATCAGCACACGGCCGTGTCCTCCGGGACGGTGCCGATGTTTACACTGCCGTGTCCTCCGGGACGGTGCCGATGTAATCAGCACACGGCCGTGTCCTCCGGGACGGTGCCGATGTTTACACTGCCGTGTCCTCCGGGACGGTGCCGATGTAATCAGCACACGGCCGTGTCCTCCGGGACAGTGCCGGTGCAATCAGCACACGGCCGTGTCCTCCGGGACGGTGCCGATGTAACCAGCACACGGCCGTGTCCTCCGGGACAGTGCCGGTGCAATCAGCACACGGCCGTGTCCTCTGGGACGGTGCCGGCGTAATCAGCACACGGCCGTGTCCTCCGGGACAGTGCCGGTGCAATCAGCACACGGCCGTGTCCTCCGGGACGGTGCCGGTGTAATCAGCACACGGCCGTGTCCTCCGGGACGGTGCCGGTGTAATCAGCACACGGCCGTGTCCTCCGGGACGGTGCCGATGTTTACACTGCCGTGTCCTCCGGGACGGTGCCGATGTTTACACTGCCGTGTCCTCCGGGACGGTGCCGATGTAACCAGCACACGGCCGTGTCCTCCGGGACAGTGCCGGTGCAATCAGCACACGGCGGTGCGGACCTGTGCATGACAATCAGTGGGCAGGGCCGCGGCGGAAGAGGTCGTGACAAAGGCTACATGCATGGTGCTGATTGGTGCATGACTCGGGCGCAAACAAAGGCATATTGTTTGCGATGATAGATTGTGAAGGTTATGACTTGTTCACGAAATCTAAGGTGGAACTCATTGGAACACGAGAGATGCGACGCGCGGTGCGGGAGCACCGTAAACGTCGTGATAGTCGCTTTTCTGTTCGCCTGGTTTGGATCCTGCTATTGGTGTAGGTGCTCTCATTCGATCTTGTTAGTAGCTTCTGAAACATGAGAACGTCCATTTCATCGGCTGATGCGCTGAAATGAGGAAATAGACAGTAAGATGGTCACCTTTGACTAAACGTCCAGGCAAAGTGACACCATGCGCACAAGTCATGGGAACGTACAATCAACTACGAAGGTTATTTCCATGATACAGGTTGGCAACATAGTGTGATAGTTTCGGAAAATGCATTTTCAAGAATATACTGGAATATCGGGGGCTACAATTAAACTGGATACAGCGATGGAGTCCATGGGATACGACACATTGAATGAATGTAGCGTTGCAAGTTGGGCATTTCCGACGCCAAACTGGTTTTATTTCCATGCATCGGTGATG